TACAAAATTTTGTATTCTCTGTCTTGCTTTTGGAGTTACTCTTTGTAATGACATGTAGAGGTTGTAGAGTTGTGTAGTGGTGCTGTTAGTGACTTAGTGGGCCAATGGTAGACAATTATGACGTATTTACTAATTCGTAATCAAATTAAAACGAATGAAATTGAGAATAAATTGAATTGATGAGGAATTGAAATGAGGTGGAATCAGAATCAGATTCCTATTGAAGTTGTTTACTAAAACTATTTGGAATCAGAGTAGGAATGATATTAAGTCCATATAAGTTGTTTACTAATTCACTTCAATCGGAATGAAAACTAGGTTGATTACTATATTACCCTTACATAAATAAATTATTTTCATACTAATTAATTAAATTAAATTCTTAATTAAATTTATATAATAAAATTCATTTATATAAACATATATAAATAGGTTTATTTATTTATTAAAAGACGGCAGGAATGATATTTAGTCCATATAAGTTGTTTACTAATTCACTTCAATCGGAATGAAAACTAGGTTGATTACTAAATTGCCCTTACATAAATAAATTATTTTCATACTAATTAATTAAATTAAATTCTTAATTAAATTTATATAATAAAATTATCTATATAAAAATATATAAATAGGTTTTATTTATTTATTAAAAGATGGCATAATGAGTGTCAAATGAAGGGCAATGTTGGGATAATTAGAAACAAGTGAGGGCATAATAGGAATAAAAGATGCATTCCCGATTCCCTTACCCACCGAGAATTCAAATACCTCATCTATCCAGGGAATCCCGTTCCTCCAATTTCAGGAATTGGATTCCTTGTTTCGTGTGGGCTCGACCACTTTTTTGATTCCTTAATATTTAGTAAACATCGGAATACTCCGTAATCGGAATTCAATTCCCTTTCTTTATTCCGATTACCCTTACGTAAACGTGTCATAGTAGTTATCTTCAGGAATTGTATTTAGGAGAAGTAGAGGGTTAAATATTAATGCACCTGAAAACTCTCATAACCAAAAATTTTTGAAGATCATTTTTGTGTTGTTAGATGTTAGAGTTATAATGTGTAATTAGACAATGATTTCTCTAAGCATAATTAAATTATTAATTGCATCAGGATCAAGTTGGAGCGCAAACTCCACCCCATTAACCTTCTGGTGTTGGACCATCCACCTTACCAGAGAGACAGAGGGTGAGGGACAAAAACTAGGAGGTAGAAAGAGAGATGCCTTTTATTGATTATGATTGGCATTGACTCCCTTGTCCAAATGTCTTTGGAAAGTTTTGCTTTTTCTGTCCCACTAGTGGGATTCTTCTTCACCTTCCCCAACCCAAAACAAATTAATTCAACCCCAAAATATAAAAAATAAAATCCTCTTCCCCATTTCTCATTACTACACACAATATGTCTCTTCCACCAAAAATTCTTTAGTATGGTTGTTCATATCACATTACTTTGATCGTCTAAGATACATTTTATGCATGTGGATACATCACAATGGACGAATTGGTGGCACAATAAGAGTGCGGTGCACACCGAAGGACATTTTATATGGATCTATATATAATTTTGGCCAACTCAAGATAACGTAGTGACCCGTCCCTGTTAGTGATAGAGACAGCAGATAAAGAAACATAGATTCTTGTTTGCTCTATGTTTGGCTATATGATTTGCGCACTTTATCTTTTTAACAATACATACCACCTTTGAGAGTCCTTTTCTTGTTTAAGATTACTCTTTTTTTTTTATCTTTCCGTTTTATAGGACCAATGATAAAATCAAAGACATAGGGTAAGAATTTTCCCATGTGAATCATTTCATTCTTCCTTCTTTACATGTAGACCCCATTTTGGCATCAATATATAATATGAAAAAAAAAACAGTGGCATTGAATTAATCATTATTGTTGAATGATTAACTGAATGAAAACAGACATTTCCCATCAGTCAAGAATTTGCTCAACATATATTTGTTTGGTCACAAACATCTGATGAAGTTCTTGTATTTTTCTATATAATCAGGAATTTATTTAACATTTTCATATAAAAAAAATGGAAAATATAGTGAAAGAAACAAGAGCAAAGCCATCCTGACTCTGAAGCTGCAGGTTTCTCCTTCTGATTTTAAGAGCTTCTTTTGAATTTCAAATACTCAGAATTCGCATACACTTCTAATTTGTCAAGTTGCATTTCATGCATGCTTGACATCTTGGTTAGCGTATATTGCCGGTAAGTTTTGTTTATGTCCCCTAATTCCCCTAATTAAGTTGTTACAATAGATTTAAATTAGCTATATGACAGCTATTTTATTGATTTAAAATCAATGGAAAATTGTCTGTTTAACCTAATTATTTGGATAACCAACAGCATTCCGAGAGAAATCTCAGTAACATGGAACTCTGAACCCTACACTCTTTGATCCTTGTAGCAAGGATGTCATTTTCGAGGTCCACAAACTAACGCATATTATTAATGCAACATATAAATCCAAATTTCCATGGAGGATGTCTGTCAGTTTTGATTTGAAACTAAAGATTCTCCTACTCTTGAATTGAATACATGTAATTTTTTTTTCTTGGTTCTAATATTTTTGGCATTGAGAAACCATCCAACTGACTTGCATAAACTGTTGATAATAAGATAAAATAGAAGTTTCATTTGTTTATTTATTGGAAACAAAAGCTTTAACTTCTAGTAAAAATGGGAAAGAGATCATCTCCGGATATCTTCCACCAAAGCCACCGGATTAAGTAATCTGGACCTTCCAAATTTCATCAAACGGTACAAAATTGTTACAGCTTTTAAGGGGTCAAAACAAGTGGGCCATTGGATGAAATTTGGAAGGTCCGGATCACTTGATCCGGTGGCCTTGGTGGAAGAGATTCGAAGATGATATATTTCCATAAAAATAGAGATTAAAATGGCAGATGGATCCAAAAGGAAACAATATTTTCTGTCTCTAGACTCTGTATACCCTCAACCCCAAATGAAGAATACCCACGCAAAGATAATATAAAAAAGGATCAAACCAAGCATAAGACAGTTAATAATAAAGAGAGATGATTTATGCACACTGTTCTTGATTTGTTGAATATGAAGGTTAGAAATAAACAAACAAGTTAAGAGAAAAAAATGGACGTGCGAAAGTCACTTTCATAATATGATTGAAACACTTATGCGTCTAATGTTTTACCATCAACGATCAATCATAGAAATCGTTTTGTGGATTCAAACAAATAGCGGTCTTTCACACAGTAGAGTTCACCAACCAATTAGACACCATGGATTGATGTGATTACTCATTGATAATAATTGCTCAAGTGCAGATTGAAAGAAGTAAAAAAACCTTCAAAATGCTTGTAAATTTGGATTTTTCCATCTTTTTGCAATTTTTATTTTCCTCCTTAACTTCCTCATGTCTTGGTTTGGCCTTTTTGGACTAATTAAATCCATTACTTCAGTCTAAAATAAAAAAATCCTGATCCTAGCTAGAGTCTATAGTATACTTTCTACACTCATGCAGTTGCCCTAGGGTTTTGGTTTCTGCAGTCTCAATACAAAAGGCACCCAGAAAACAATCCACAGAAAAGTTTTTACTAAAACAAAACCTCTCACTTTCTTTCATCGCTTAGGCCAAAAAAACAAAAGAGTATCTCTCGTTGCAGTGAAAAACGAAGCCTTTTTTCCTTTCCCTTTTCTTTTCCCCAGTTAGGTGAATTTCACGACAGAAAAAGAGAGAGACTGGCCACCTTACCACACTGGCCATTTCATCTTTTTCTTTTGTATTGGTATTGGAGAAATTGGAAAAGGTCAAGCTTTAAACATAATATTAAGCATTATTTTATTGTGTGGATTCTGTGACAAACGTTAGTTCCCTTGACGCTGAAGGACAGTTAGGGCATCCACCTGTTTTTTTCCTCAAAAGAGATTTAGACAAAGAGAAAGCTCTCAAGTCCTTCTTCCTTTTCCAGCATCCTATGTCTCCTTTATCCTTTAACCTTTCATCCCTTTTGATGGAGGCTCTCTTTTATTTGCTTTTCTTCTAAAAACCCAAAAAACTTGTTACCCAGTCGTTATTGGACACAACCCATTTTTGGGTTTTGCTCACAACTGTCTTTAGTTCGCATGGACTTACTCATTGACCTTTTGAGCCATACTAAAATTTCATTTAACAAGTTTTGAATTTCTAAATTTACAAGTTATCATGTGGACTTATAGAACTACTTCTTCAACCCTAAAATAACGTGGAATTGATTTTTCTTGAAAACCTGGGTTATATTCATGAATTATCGTGTAGGAAAAGAAAACAGACTGTGAAAATCATTTCTCTAATCTATAGTGATTAAGACTATCAATTTATGTATGTAAAATTCTCTATTTGTTCCCATTCTCTCTAATACCACACATATTTAAGAGTACTTATCTTTGCACTTAAAATCTTATGAGTAATGCTAAGAAGAGTAAATTTGCAAACTAAATTATGTGTCACCAATATGAATAAGCACGTTTACGGTTTATCAACGTTTAAATAATCAACCAATCATCAATTTCCATGTCCTTTAGTTTTCAAAACTTTATCTCCAAATTTAATCTCTCTAGTATTATTCAAATCTTATTCCCCCTCTCACCATCATCCCTTGATCAAAAATTGGGAAAAGAATGAAAAACCCAAACCGGTATAACAAATAATTATGATTATTGCCATTTGTAATATTATGCATAGCAATGGCGTGCAATGCAGGTAAAATGCTCCATATGCAGGTCATGCCAGAGTCTTAGGCCAGTGACCATATGGAGCAATCAGCATGGGACAGGAGTGGAGGGGCGGTCACCAACTCCCACTTGCTTCACAACAAGAGAACAGAACGTTGAAATTTTGGTGTTGTTAATTAAAACTTCCGATAAAATGACATGTTTACACTGAAGAAAATAAAATAAAATACCGGTAGACTGTTTAATAAGTGGCACACAATTAATAAAACATTATAAATCTTCACTCACTCACGCAATACATCAAGAGTCGGAGTCAGAGCCACTATTTATCACCCTCCCATTTGTCCTCTGGCTGAGTGAAAGAAAGAAAGTTGTCCGCTTTTGGAACCCTTTGACATTCAGGGGTCTTCCATTGCTACCGCCACAAGTCCATGCCGGCTTTTATTCTCCCACTAAACACCCCACGGCCTGGTTTCTCCTTCTTTTAACGAAAAGCCAAAGGCCAAAGCTCCCCTCCATTGCCAAAAAAGCTCAAAAAGTTACAGCCATATCTTCACAGGGAAGCTCCCCGGTCAAAAGGGTCGTCTTTCTCCGAGACGCTTTTTGTGGGTTTTAGGCAGCATTTCAGCTCTGCAATTTCCAGACTCTGATAGCAGCAAGTTTTCACTTTGTGGGGTTTCTCCGGGAAGGTGAAAAATGCAAGTGGGAAAGTTAAAGCTTTGGACTTTGCAGTCTGATTAGAGGAGTTTGTGAAAATTTTCTCCAGTTTTGGGCTGGCGGGTAAGTGGTAAAATTACATTTTCCTCTGTTTTTCTGTGTTGAAATTTCTTTACTGAAATTAGTTTCCGTTGTGTTTTCGGATGGTTTTTGCAGAGATTAATGGGGTTCGGAGGGATGAGCGGCGGTGAAGGTAAAGTGCTGGGATTAAGAGTGAAACAACACAAGCGTTCAAAAAGGTTGGTTTCTAATTACTAAGTACATTTTTCGGTGACAACTCATTAAATTTATTTCTTTTGTTATCAAGCAGTCACTGTTCTCACACTTTTGCTTTATTTTAGTATGCATACTTGTTGAAATTCTTGAACTGGAAAAACTTGTGAGGTGGATTATTTGGGACAACTGGGAGTCTGATCTTTCACAGCTGCAAAGAATTTTTCTTCAAGTGACAACACCGTCAATTTCTACTAACCTCCTTTTTTGGGATTCAGACCAAAAAACAAAACCCTCCACTTTGGCCTGTTACTACTTTGCTGCTCAATTATTCTTCATGGATGGAAGCCTTGATTGTTTTTAATTGATACAAGATTCGGTGCCCAAGGGAGGGATATTAGTTGAGAATGCTTTAATTCATTGAGACCCTTGATTTTCAGGTGCTTTTTGTTTGGAATTTCAGGTGTTATCACCATCTTTCGGTTCTCTCCCGAAAATTTATAGCTCTTCCCTCCCCAAAATCTTTTTATTTTCATGAGCAATTGAGGGTATTGAATTTTTTTCTCCTGTGCCAAATTTATTTTCTCCATTTTCTCTAAATCTTTCCCAACTTCGTTTTCCTCTTGAAGTTTGTAATCATGAGTATTATAGGATATTGAACCTGAAAAATTTTGTTCCTCTTCTTTGAGGAGATTACCTTAAGCTTGGGCTTGTAAATGGAGTAATGGACAAATCATGTATGCTTGTAAATAAACAAATCATGTATGCGGTGGCCTATGTGTGGAATGAAAGACGTCAAATGTCCTCGTCTTCAGTCAATATCAATTAGTTCCTTTTGTTCACACCTATGCATTTGCCAGCTTTCCTGAGAAGAAGAGGGTGGAGGAAGATGATTTGGATAGTTCCGGTGAAGCATCAGACCGTGTGAAGCTGGTAAGATATCTTAAAGCTTATTGTTTGTTTGACTACCTATTAGTCTATTACAATAAGTCTTAAATTAAAGATCTTAAGTTCAATGCCAGTTATTTAATCTTAACTAAAAATTCGTATATAGAATTGTTATATCTTTGATTATTATACCTATTGCCATAGATGGGAAATATTATTTGTTGAAGTAAGTTGAATAGACTGATAATTATTTTGATTATTCACACGTTAAAATTTTGAACTCTGGTGTTGAAAAATAACTTTATATCTAACCTATGGATTGGATCTAAAACCAGGATATGAGACGGTTCAAGGGCCGTGGTACAAAAACCAAGAAGAAACAACCTCCTACCGTGGAAGTGCACAACTCTTTAAAGCAAGAGGTATACCAAACTTGTATATATTTATATTTAGGTTCAGGAGATTCTAAATTATTATATCCAACCCATTATTGCAAAAAAGCTCCAGCTTTAACTTTGCTTACTGATGTTGTTTTAAATATTTTGTACACAGATTCTACAGCTTGAGAAAAGATTACAAGATCAGTTCGAGGTCCGTCGTGCTTTAGAAAACGCATTGGGTTATAGGTCTTCCATCCATCATAACACAAACGAAAGTGTGATGCCTAAGGTAACTTATTTCTGTCTTGATATAAAATTTTGTTTGTTTTTTCTTGTTTAATGAAAATGAAATAATTAACATGGATAATTACATAACTACATACCTGCTCTATTTTTGTCATATTCTATCACACTCTCTGAACTAATCTTGTAAATTTTATCTGACATCTTGACACTGCTGTTATGTAACTCCAGCCAGCTACAGAATTGATTAAGGAGATTGCTGTATTAGAATTAGAAGTCACACATTTGGAACAATATCTTCTCTCGTTGTATAGGAAGGCATTTGATGGACAATTTTCCACTGTTTCCCCATCTAAGAAGGATGAACGACTAAAACCAACTCCAACAACTCCAGGAAGCATGTTCCTGGAAGTTTCCAAACCTGATATGCCATTGGTGAGGGAAAACTTGGCAGTTGGAGCAATATCTTCTCTTGTCCACGAAAATTCACAAAAGGACATCAATGAAATTGGAGGAGAAGAGAAACTGTTAGATTCCAGCATTCACCGTTGCCACTCTGAACTTTCGCAACGCTCTGCATTCTTAAGTAGAACCTCTCCAGAAGAGTCTTTGGCGAAAGCTTTGCGTTCCTGTCATTCTCAACCATTGTCCATGTTGGAGGTAACTTCCGTGCATTGTTTTTACCATTTTCTTGTTAAAGTCTGTTCCCCTAAAAATGCTTGCTATTTTTTACCACCACATACCATGGCATAAGCTGCTTTACTTCACCATTTTTACTGAAGAAGATCCTTGTTCGTGGTGATACTCATGTAATAGTGACAATTTTGGGAAACTTAACTTTAGAGGGTTTAACCTCTTTCATGGTATGTGTGGCAATTTGGAGGCTTTATCTGGATTATGACTTTCAATTGTTTTTCCAGTATGCTCAGAATACTTCGTCAAATTTAATTAGTCTGGCAGAGCATCTTGGTACACGCATTTCTGATCATATACCAGAGACACCGAACAGGCTTTCAGAGGACATGATCAAGTGCATGTCCACCATATATTGCAAGCTAATGGAACCACCCTTGTCACATAATGGCCTTTCATCTCCCAACTCATCTTTGTCATCATTTTCTCCGCGAGATCAGAGTGACATGTGGAGTCCACGATGTAGGAATAATTCATCTTTTGATGTACGATTGGATAATCCTTTTCATGTTGAAGGACTTAAGGAGTTTAGTGGGCCATACAGCACCATGGTTGAAGTGCCATGGATTTATAGAGATAGTAAAAAACTAGGCGATGTCGAGCACTTGCTACAACATTTCAGGTGAGGCTTTATGTACCGATCTGATTTAAACTCCATATTCTCTTGACACTATCATTATGCTTATGAAGTTATCCTGTTACAGGTCACTTATCTGTCGTTTAGAGGATGTAGATCCAAGAAAGTTGAAAAATGATGAGAAGTTAGCGTTCTGGATTAATGTACACAATACATTGGTTATGCATGTAATGCTCACCACCTTTAATAATTAATATACTGGTTTTACATTGTGATCTTCTTTGGATGTTTGTTACTGGATTGTAATCAGTATTCTGTTTCTGACAGGCGTATTTGGCTTATGGGGTTCCTAAAAACAATGTAAAGAGAGTATTTTTGCTTTTGAAGGTAAGAATAGTTCCGCTGGCTTTACTTAGGTGAAAAAGTTGAGCACCGGCTTTGATTTACTTGGTTTCTTTTGCTATCCAGGCTGCTTATAACATTGGGGGCCACACAATCAGTGCAGACACAATGCAGAGCTCTATCCTTGGATGCAGAATGTCTCGCCCAGGACAGGTAGATCCTAAGTCACGCATGCACTTGCACTTTGAAGTGTTATGAAACGCTTGTTTTTATTAATCTGTGTGGGATTCAAACTTACAATGGTATGTCTCTGCTCGCAGTGGCTTCGTTTGTTACTTACTCCAAGGGCGAAATTCAAGACTGGAGATGAACGGCAAGCATATGCAATTGACCATCCGGAACCCCTTCTACACTTCGCACTGTGTTCAGGAAGCCATTCTGATCCTGCGGTACTCCATTAACTTCATTCTTTTATAAATTCATGTCTACCATTAATTCATAAATACTAAGCTTTGCTGCATCAGAATTACAGTTTGCTTATTCTTTTAAACTAGCAAAACTAACAATAGTTTTCTGCTTAGGTTCGATTCCCTTGCACTGTAACCAAACAAAAACAAAAATTTGTTTGAGGCTTAATTCTCCACATTACACCAAAAAAGAAAATGATAATAAAGCCAACTTGCATATTTGAATACCTTGATCTGCTCTTAAGCTTTTTATGTTTTAAGTGACTTATGAGGAATTGTATGAACCTTCCATGATCTTTTTCAGGTTCGTTTATACACACCCAAGAGGGTATATCAAGATCTGGAAGCTGCAAAGGAGGAGTACATTCGAGCTGCCTTTGGAGTGCGCAAGGACCACAAAATTCTTCTACCAAAGATTGTTGAGGCATTTGCAAAGAGTTCAGGTTTGTGTCCGGTTGGTGTTTTGGAGATGATCCAACAGACATTGCCTGAATCTTTGAGGAAGACTGTCAAGAAAGTCCATCTTGGGAATCCTCGGAAGAGCATTGAGTATATTCCTCACAATTTCACTTTTCGGTATCTGATTTCTAAAGAACTGGTGAAGTGAACACTTGCGCAGGGTCCCATACATTCATCAAGTAATCTGCAACGGTTTTAAGGTTTTTATGGTAGAAGAATTCATATATCTTTTTTGTACAAAGTAGAATATGAACCCGAAAAAAAAAAAGTAAAAAGAAGTGATGGCTGGAGAATAGAAGGGCGTAAACCCTGCAGCATTTTGTTTCTGCATTATCTTGTGTTAGGCTAAGCAAAGTATCTGCAATGTTGTGAATGAATTGAGATGGTGCACTGTAAATATATCTTTTGTTTCCCTTAAACCATCATTTTTAATAGTAAAATGGATTAGTGATGTAGATTGAATTTTTCTCTAGGCATTTCATATGTCAATGAACTCTGCACATGAGAGTCACGTGTTTATTAGCAGTTTTCTGCATCATATATTTCTTGCATCTCCCAAATCCATTTTCTTAAAATATAGTCACAGAGATGCAGCTGTATTCTGCAACCCACAAAACGCAAAACAAATCACAAAGAGAAAAGAGATCTGAAGAACCATAGTGTTACATTACATATTTAGCAGCAAAGACCCTAATACATTTGCCTAATTTACATCAAACACCCTAAGTACAACACATTATTTGCTAATCAACCCCTCAAGATCATAGATCACATCACTTGCAAAAACTAAACTCAAACTAGCTTCTACTTCAACTTCTCTAAGTTTGAGAAACTTACCGACACCTGGAATGCTGTGATGACATGTAGTCCAATTGGTTTGAGATTCTGTCGGCGTAACATCCCAGATACAAGGGAATTATTTTTCCCCTAGTAGGGGCTATCCCCTATAACATTCCCAGGAGGATTATACAAACAAATACTTAAGCTGCTCTGTTCTTTCACACAAGTAGCCTGAGCACACCCAAGCTTCAAAGACTTCCTCCACACCACCTGGGTGTACACACCACACCTGTGCTTTGGCACACGAGTTCCCACTGTGGTTATAGAAGTCCTTCTCTTTGACCCAAGTGTCCACAACCATGGTTGGACTCACTGACTGCCCACTTGCCCACAGCTGATTGGCTCCATACTTGCTGCCACTGGTGAGGATAGCAAAGTTGCAGGCTTGGTTGATCTTTCGGTACCTCACTAGCCTACTTGTTGCATTGGCGAGAGACTCAATCCACTTGAGCGGCTCAACACCCACGGGCCACGGCTGCCCTGGCTTGGTTGTGAACTTGGAGGTATTCTCTGGCTGAAGTGTTGGAGCTTGGCGCCTGAGCCCCCGCAACATGGGCTGAGCTCATGGCTAGAGCCAGGGCTGCTAGGACGATGATGGGCCATTTGATCTTTGATCTGGTGTTCGATGTGGTCAAATCCTTAATTGGTGTGTCTAGGTATTTATAGGGACACCTTTGAGTGAAGGGAATGAAGTTGTTGGCCCTTCTTTGTGGGAGTAATGTTAAATGCATGTGCCAAAATTTATCGACTTTATGAATTGATCACATAAGTTATGATTGATGTGCTAATTGGTAGGTGATCATTATAATTGGTTGTAACTGTTAGACAAACATTAACTCAGAAAGTTTAAATATCTTGTAAGGCAGAGATAAAATAGAAGATATGAGAAATAAACATATAGATGAAACTTCATTTTCATTCCACATCTTGCAAATGCAAATGAACAAAGAAGTGGAGAACGAGAATTGAACTTCTCAAATTATTGAGATAAAGGTGATGGGCAAAAAAATCAGGATCGGACTTAAAACTACTCGCAAAAAAAACTCTAATAATGATGTCATGTTAAACAACCATTAATCCTAAACCTTGACGTGTGAGAGCATCTCCAAAGGAGATGTCAAAAATAATATGTCAAAAATTTTTTGATGGCTGATATGGTAAATTAAATAAAAGTGCTAAATTCTCGTATTTTCCAATGGAGGTGTCAAATATGTATTTTATTATTTTATTAGGCCTAGAGTTATGTGATATGAAATTTATAGTTTTTTTTTTTTTTTTAAGAAGTAATTTTACAGGTCGAGATAGACTCCATGAAATGTGGAAATGATAACAAGAAGAAGAAGAGAATCATGAAATTGACACTGCAATGCAGCGTCTGAATAGAAATGTAAAAACAGAACCAGGAAACGAACACTGCATTGTAGTGTCTGAATCAAAATGTAAAAAAGAAAAAAAAAAGAACCAAGAAACGAACACTGCATTGTAGTTTCTAAATTAAAATGTAAAAAAAAAAGAAAAAAAAAGAAAAAAAAAACTAGGAAACTGACATTGCGTTGCAATGTCTAATCAAAATGTAAAAAAGAAAAAAAAACAAAACTAGGAAACAAACACGGCGTTGTAATTTCTAAATCAAAATGTAAAAAAAGAAAAACAGAACTGGGAAATGGGCACTACATTGCAGTGACTGAATCTAAACATAAAAATAAATAGTCGCTCGAAGAATGAAGCATAGAAGGCGTATGAGTGATGAAAAAAAAAACCAGGAAACGGACACTGCAATGTAGCGTTTGAATCCAAGTGTAAAAAACATAATCAGTAAACAAACACTGCGTTATAGTGTTTGATCCGTATTGATCTATTCCAAAATATGAAAAATATAGAATTAGGGTGTCAATTGAAGTGGGTGCCAGCTATAATGGCAGATTCTGTTATTTTTGTTTATTTTAAATGCATATAAGTGCCACAATACATGATTGACTTATTTATAATTAATACAAATATTGTTGATTTATTGTCAATATGGTAACTTTGTATTGATTTTATACAAAATAAAAAATAATCAAAATTAACTTTAGTTTTTATTCCATTAGTTGCTAATGGGACTCATGAATTAAAAAATTAAATTAAAAATATTTGACTCCTTCTTTGTTTGCTGTCAAAAAAGACAGTTAGAAAGTAAGGAGTCAAATGACTCAACTGCCACATCATATTTGGCATATCTATTGGAGAACACCTAAATGTCTTTTAATTATATTTGACATATTTGACATCTCATTTGGAAATAGTCTGAGGAGATAAAGCCAATAATATACAATAAGCTTATAAGAATAAGTACATATTAATTATCACCATCATGTATTTCAAAGGCTATAAATCAAAAGATTTATAACATCCAACCTATAACTTTATTTAATTAGTAGCACATGAGGCCCTGATATCAAACTCTTTATAATACCTAAGGTCATCTCCAACCGAATGGTCCAGAGGGCCAGAGGGTCGAAAATAGTCTGAAAATCGTCTCCAACCGAGGGTCAAGACTGGACAAAAAGGGCCAAAAGGCCAACTGGTTGGCCATTTTCAGCCAGCCAGCCAGCCCGTTGGCTAGCCCAATTTCATTTTTTTTTTGTTCTTTTCCATTTGCCTAGCGTAGCCCACTTTAGGGTTTAGGGCTTAGTTTTTTTTTTGTCCTAGCCCATTTTTTGTTTTTTATGCCTAGCCCACTTTTTTTTTTTTTTTCTAATTTTTTTCTACACAATTTCTCACATAATTTTCATAATTTTATATTATCTTACCTTATTTTATTTCAATTATTCACATTCCATACTATAACCTTTTGACCCTCGGTTGGAGACGGTTTTTTGTGATAGGGTTAAAACGAGCCTTATGGCCCTCTGTTAGAGATGGTAAGAAATATGGTCATGCAATGTTCATTAAAATATTAATTTCTTGAACGGCAAGAGGGCTAAAACGAGCCATCTAACCAACTTTCGGTTGAAGATGGCCTAACCCCTTCAGCCCTCCTGCTAATAAGGGATTTGCCCTTCATGGTTCCCTGGAGGATTATAAAAACAAAGTTAAACTAGTCTGCACATGGCCTCAGCACACCACAACTCCGAAGAATTTCTCCACACAACCTGCGTGTACGAACCACGCCCATGACTCTGCACACATGAGTTGTAGTACTGCTTCTCCGACACCCAGGATTCCACAGCTAAACGAGATGTCACTGGCCGCGACCGCACAACCAACCAAAACTGGTTGGAGTTATAGTTCAAGCGGGAGCCACTCAAACTGCGGGGGTCTTCTGCTAGGTCGCAGTGTTTGCTGTCTCTTTGGTGGCTCACCACCCGGCTGGGTTGCAACTTTGGTTGCAACTTTTGCCATGGACTCGTTCCAATTGAGAGGCCCGACGACACCCACCACGGCTCTTGCTTTGTTGTGGGGTTCTAGATAGGGATGTGCTATCCACACACCTTTTTTTACTTCTCAAACACCCCTTGTTAATTTCTGTTCATTAATCTTCTTCAATTCATTCGATCCGACGATCGAAAATTAAAAATATGTGTGAGAAGTAAAAATGGATGTTCCAGATACTCTCTGGCCGTACAGTTATTTATAGAAGCTTTAGGAGTCTTGTGTTGTACGTGTCGAATTTGATGGAAGGAATTCTTTAATTTCGTGATCAGCACACAACACATGACACGTTAATTTCCATCAAATTAATTGGCCACACACTCTGTTGTTCTCAATTATATATACAATGCCCTTAAGCTATATGGGACGCATGTAGGATTGCTTATTTGTAATTATAATTAAGGTCCACTCCTAAAATACACAATAGCAAGTTCTTTAGGGGTGGTTTGGGAGTGAGGTACTTAAAAAAAAACACCCATGAAAAAAAGCTGTGAGGGTTTTAGGTGTTTGGTAAGCTGAAAAAAAGGGCTTATTTTGGAAGCTGCTGTGAGAATAAGCTGAAATCAAAGGAAAAAGCTGAAGCTGCTATTTGCAGTTTTGGAAAACTGGCTTTTTTTCAAAGCACACGGAGCTACCGTGCTCCTTTAATGAAAAGACCCACTATCAAACTTTTTTTTTTTTCCAAAAGCATTTTTACAAAAAAATTTACCAAACACTCTGCTAATTTATTTCACAGCCGCTTATTCTCACAGCACAACCGCTTATTCTCACAACAGTTTTTTTTCAAAGCACAGCAATACCAAACCAGCCCTTACTCCTATGATACAACTGAAAGAACTGTATTTTCTCTCCCTCCTCCCTCCCTCCCTCACTCATGGTTCTTCAAAACTCCCAATTTTTCAAGTGTTTTATTAGGATTATGTATTGAGAAAATTATAAACAATGCTAGAATTTTCTCTTTTATAAGCTTTAATATAAGTAATATAAGGAACTAAAGCTACATCTTAAAAAAAATAAGCCGCTGCTTGCAAGAAATCATAATTCTTGAGTTCTTCAAACCGCTTTGAGTCATGAAGACTTGAAGGTGAGTTTAATTGCGATAAGACTTGGTCTTAAATAAATTGATAGTAAAAAGCACTAAAAGTTTTTTTTTGTGTGGAAAAAAATACATTTTATTAAAATGAAAAGATCCAAATATAAAGGTTAGTGCAAAAATTGATAGCACTACTTTAGGTACTTAGTGATTAGATAAACTTGAAGGCATAATTAATTGCTTTCAATTTGTATCCATATCTCACGTCTGCCTTCAAGTTTTAGGAGATGACATAATTTGACAAACCTGAAGGCATATGCATGGATGAAACTTCGACCTCTCTCCCAATTGTCAATTGTGATACATTATTATTCTTTACTTTCTAATTAATCAACATCTCTTAGCTTAGCTAATAGCTAGTAGGGACTCTCCCCTTCAAAGTTTCCCGGAGGATTATAAAAACAAACAGTAAGACTCCTCTGCTCCTTGACAGACGTGGCTTCAACACACCCCAACTCCAAGGACTTTCTCCACACAACCTGCGTGTACGAACGATTATTTGGTGCACAAGAATTATTGTCGTGGTCGTAGTACTGCTTCTCCTCCACCCAGTTTTCCAACGCCATGCGCAGCATCGCCGTCCGCGTCCTGACAGTTGTTCAAAACTGGTTGAAGCCATACTTGGGGTCGGAACCAGTCAAACTGTTGGGCTCTGCTGCTAGGTCGCAGCGGTTATTGTCTCTTTGGTAGATGACCACTCGGGTAGCGGCTGTTGCTAAGGACTCGCTCCACTTTAAAGGGCCGACACCGACGGGCGCTCTTGCTCGGTTGTGGGCTTCGACGTAGTCTAAGGCGGTGGCTGAAGCGGCGCCATGGGCTGAGCTGCATATGTCTAGTGCTACTACTACAACCAAGGGAAATTGGGCCATTATTTTTTCTTTATTTTGATGTGCTACATATGATTATTTGATATCAATATCTGTTACTTATATAGTGATTTTTTTTTTGTGAATTAGTGGACGGAATGAAGTGAAGTTTGGTTTGCCCTTTTTATGTATATAAGTACAAATGCAACCACTTCACAAACACGCTCCAATCCACCTTCAAATGGCCATTTGCACTTCTCAGGGTGTGATAGAGTGAGGGGTGTGGCGGTTCTTCTCAATCGTGATCAACATATACATTTCTGTCTAATTAATTTTCAGAAATGTGTGATGTTATAGTTTCAATTAAATTGGACTAATGCATGTTTGTTGTTTGGTTAACTTATAACTTTTTTGTATAACAAACCTTATAATGGTTGATTCTAGATTTGTTGAATTTGACAACAATCCAGCTTATTATGCCTTACAAGTATCATTTAGAGCGGCAAGACTTTATAAAATTGACTTGACTCAACTTCAGTCATGGTATATTCATTTTAGCCAAAGATTTAGAAGGATTATTGATTTTTCGTCCAAGAAAATCTCACTGATCGAGTTGGTTTGTGGTTGAATAGTAAAGTGATTGTTGGTGTAGCATGAATGTACCTAACTGACCAAACGGTACATAAATTTCCCACGTCAATGCGCGTGGGGGCGTTGACTTCTCTTTAAACCGTGACCTGAATTTATAGCTTTGATCTACAGGACAACATTTTTCGCACCCACGCTTTGTGACGGTGGTCACTTTTAAAGCCTCACCTATATACATGAATTTGTATTGCATAAGAGATCAATACATGACGTATAAGAGACGTCGTCTTCTTATTGAATTAGGATTTGTTCCGATGGTTAGGGTTTGAACGCGATACAAGTGTTTTTTTCTTTAACTCACATTGCATGTTCCAACCTTCCTTCCTTTCCCTAGTAGAGATTAGTGTGAACTGTGGAATATGAAGAAAGTTGAGATTTCAACTTTTACCACAAAACTAATTGGTTATATGGAAATCAGCTCAACTTACTTTACTTATAAGTAATTCGGTAAAAATTGAGCTTGGAAATTAGGCGACCGCCGTCTCTGGCCAACATTGAGCTGGCCTAGATTGCCAGAGAGACCGGCTTCTGGGATGCAATGGCAGCAGAAAGTAAATTTGGCCCAGCTGGAGCTCCTATTCTTCTTTTAAAAACTTTTGAGCATTTGTGCTTGAACTTAAGTGGTGGTGAGTGATAATCACCCTAAAACATTACTGTTTGAGTTAATATTTAAACTTTGGGCTTTCAGGAATGGAAGCCCAAAAAGAGCTCAAGAATGAGATTTCGTCCAAGACCCAGCACCTAAGCCCAGATCATCCATCTCAAAGACCAGTTGGCACTCCCCCATTAATGCAAAGGCTAGTTGCTTACAAGAAGTGACAACCGATGGAAATTCACCAACTCTAGGCCCAAAAGTGCTTTTTGGAAGGCAAACACGTCAAAATGCTGATGACTCACTACCCTTCAGTTACTTTCGGGCAAGAGCAGAAACAACACGGCTAGGCCAATTCGTTTATAAAAGGGGGAAGAAGGCCTAGAGACAAAGACACTCAACCATTCAAACAAACAAATATACAACTTGTCTCTCAGCCAAGCAAAATACTCAGAAAGTTGCGCTTTGTCTAGATTCTACACCCTTTTAGCCTTAGATTTCCCGTAGAAAGATATTTTTTGTCTATGTAAAAGCTTTGCTACATTTTTTTCTAAATGATGTAGTATCGATTTCTCATATGTAAACTCTTTTCCAATCACCCCTTTTAGTACTCAACCCTTTTGTTACTGCCAAGAGAAGAGATCGCAAGACGTTTTAACCTTACCCGACAAGGTGAAATCTTACCCGACTCTCTTTGTTTTTGCCTTTCCATTAATAGATTTGGTGTTATAATGTATCCCTCAATATATATGCAAGTCATTTTCGGTCTCTTAATGATCTAAAGTTCCATTAACTCTCAGATCTGGTTCACTTAGTACTTTTACTATCGTAAAAGTAAATGAAACTAATGTCTTAATCAGATTTGGACTTTCACCCTTTAAAGCATACAAGATAAACAAAGGTCATTGATCTCAAGGCATAGAAAAAAACTTAATGTAGACTTAACCCATTCACGATAATCCTTTGATAATAAGAAGTCAGAATAACTTGGGGTGCAAGTAATCGGCTTAAATACATTCATTCTACATCTACCATACAGAGATGTCAGTGGCACGCCTCAGTACTTAGTTAGTTTTGATTGTGAGCATCACGGCCTACACCTAAGGCCCGACAAAGGCACATTTCAGAACTAATTATGTCCTCTTCTTGAAGCTCGACAAGCGAGCAAGAGCTGTTACAACCACACCCACTCTTTACTTATTAAAATGATTTCTTTAGTCTTTAATTAGTGAACCATGGGACCCGCCTTATTTCTTTATACTTCTATCGTGGTTTCCAATCTCTCTCCCCCTCTAATATCTGAAATCAACTATCTCTCTCTAACTCTCAGGAACTCACACTATCTCTAAGCTCCGAGAGCTTCTCTCTAGCTTTCACCTCACTCCCCTTACAAATCAAACCCCAAAAACCATATATTTGGAATCCTTGAGACCTAACGAACTCAATGGTACCCTTGCATGCGCCATCTGAGCACCGTGGGCTTTTCTGCCATTGAAGCCGAGAGCTTCAAAGCTCTAACACGCGAACCCAGGTGAGGATTGTGTTCCTTCTTCAAATTTCTGGGTTATGCATGTTGGTTTTATGACAAAACTCAAGGGTTTTGATCTCAGTTTTTCTCTGTGCTAATAATCTAGCTCCGACGACGAACTCTGACGAGTTCGAGGTCCATCTCTTCCCAAAACCTGCTGCAGTGCGTCCAGGTGAGTTCTTAGGTATATTTGTGAAGTTTTAGAACCCCTTATTCAAGCCCTAACTCTTACCATCCCTTGTGCATGCATGTCCGGTTCCGACGACGAACTCCGGCGAGTTCGTGAGTGTGCGTTTGTGCAGTGTGTACGTTGTGCAAGTGTGTGTGCGTGAACCGTGTGTGTGTGTGTGTAAGTATGCTTACTGTGCGTGTGTGTGATTACATATATATATATATATATATATATATATATATATATATATATATATATATGCATGATGCTGTGCGTGTGTGTGCTTATATATATATGCATGCTGTGCATGCGTGTGTGTGTTTATATGTATGTATCTATATATATATATATATATATATGCATGTTGCCTCTGTGTGTATATTTGTATATATATATATGTGCATGCTGTCTGTGTGTGTGTTTGGCATGTTGGTGTCCGTGCAAGTGTGTGTGTGTGTGAGAGTAAGTGTGATGGTGTATGGTGCACGTGTGTGTTGTGTATGTTTGTGTATTGTATGAAGTGTACAGTGTGTGCGTTATGCGGTGCAGCTCTGTGAGTATGTGTTGTGTATGTATGTGTGTGAATGTGTGGTGTGTGTGCCGTGTGTGTATAAGCATGGGTTTAGGCTTAAGCCTAAAACTCCCTCTTGTTCCTAACCTACCCAAACCCAAAACCCATTTCCATTTCCTAAAATTCTATCTTTCGGGTAGTTTATTAAATTGTACATTTTCGTGCTTAGGTGAAGTTGCTAGTGGAGACTTCCTTAATCTTTTTCCACACAATTCTGCTGCTTCGGAGTATCTGTGAGTGGACCACCTTCGAAAATTGCATGTTTTATTGATAGAAATGCATAATTTAATAGCATGCCTTGCAGAATTATTGATTTGAGGAATACTTTACAGGAAGCATGATGATTTGATTATACGTGATTATATATATATATATATATATATATGTTTTGAACTATTTCCATTATATCGTATTTTCTATAGAACCCTCATTCTGGTAGTAGACTAGACTATCTGATCGATGACGATAGGATGCTAAGAATGTGTTTCAAATGACTTTCGAACACCTCTTCGTAGTATAAAGGATCGATGAATTTATGCTACAAAGTTGTATTTTAGAGGTGAATTATGTTTTGTGCGTACCTAGTGAACACTATGCCGCCTGGGGCGAGGATCTGGTGTTGGCATTGAGGCCGGAAGAAATAATCCCTAGCGAAAGGCTGAGGGACACGGAGACAGGCATTGGGCCGGGAGGGAGATATCTCTGGCTACGGGCACAGAGACTGAGGTGCAGGCATTGGGCCGGGAGTATTGTTATTCAGTGCACTCACTAGCAGCACAACTTGTGTTATGCTTCCTGATATGATTGCTGAGATGATTTCTGATATGATTTTTTGAGATTGATTTGCAGATAGATATATGAATTGTTTTATGGCATGCTAGAGTTTTCTGAAAAGCTTATCACTTATTATTCTAGTAGTTTTCATTATTAAACTGTGGGGGTTAGTATGTTCATAGCTGTTTTTGTACTATGTATATATACAAGCTTGGTCCACTCACCCTTGTTTTGCGCCCCCATTCAGGACTTAGGATGAAGGCACATAACCCCGGCATCAAGGTACTTCCGCAGCGGCATCTTCGAGTCCTCTCGGGGTAGGACTCACTCATTTGTTCATTCAATCTTATCTTAGTTCTTGTTAGTGACTAGGTTTAGTTATATGCTCTGAACACGTTCCTAAATTGTTAATTCATTGTTTTTAAATTCATAACCTGTATTTATTTCTTATTCTTAGCTTTTGTATCAATTAATGGCTTTCGTCACCCCCGGGTGTCGGCCAGCACGTGTCGGTCCTGGTATTCGAGGAATATCAGGGTCGGGGCGTGTCAAGAGCCCGATAGCCAACCAAAGTGCCAATTCCTCGGGGAGCTGTGTGCTCGAGCTAGGGACCCTTCCCAGCGAAATTCCTGCCCGAACAATTACATTCATGTTCATTAAAAAAAAATATGGTATTATAATGCAAGGCTTTAAGCTCAATCTCTTCTCTAATTACTATTTTAAACTTAAAAGTTTATACGCAATATTGAAATAAAAAATTCATAAAAGTCGAAGAGTATTCCATAGAATATTGAAAAGAAAGAGTATCACAAAGATCTTAATATGGTTCTATCAGTATTCATTTCACAATCATATTTTCTTTAGTAACTACTATGATACGTTTCTGACAATTTGAAATCAGGACCTTTAAAAAAATAAATAATACAAGTTATAAGTTATTTTAAAAAACTAACGAAAAGTTCAAAAAGCTTTAGTTTTAATGAAAAATAACAAATGAAGGTGTAATGAATAGTACTTAAAAAAGATAAAAATGTGATTTTTCTTTAAAAATGAACAGTACCAAAAATGTTTCGTTAAAACTCTCTATATTTTAATCTTCCTTCCTCTTCCTTATCACAAGTGGCTTGTAATATAAACACTATAAAACCCACTTACTATATAAATTAATGTTGCTTAGCTAGTTGTAACATCTTGGAAGGTTTAAAATACAATTAACCAGATGCTCGTGGTGACCATCAAGGAATGAGGATCATCTTCGGATTCTCTTTATGAGGTCAGTTTTCGTCAGATACTATTCATATTTAATTTTAAATTAAAATATTTAAAATAATTTATGACCGCACAATGTATAATAAACGGATACAATTTGAGAATTTCTGGAATCCTTAGGATCCTCATTCACCACTAAGTACCATATATAGTCAATTAGCTTTTTTGCCATGCAAATTTAAAGGGAAATGTTCGCTCGATCTTATCCACATAATTATTGTTTAAAAGGGCGGATTTGTGACACTATATATAAATAATTTTAACACATGTTTTTTTAAAATTTTTTTTTTTATAGAAGTTGTTCCGTAATGTTTTTCAACGATCCGAATCGTTTATTTTTTAGGTTTTCTCCCAAAGATCATGTATACCAAAAACCATCCAAATTCAAAACAATATGATCATTGGATTAAATTTACTGTTTTTTTTATAGAACCGTATTCATTCATTTACTTCACTACAAATGTTTCCATGGTTTTAGATTTGTCTAGGTTTTTACAAGAATGATCTATGAATGATGTTATAAAATAAAAACGATTCGGATCATTGTAATATATTACGAAATGCACTCTACAAAACATGTGGAAAAAATTGTGTAAAAAAATGGTTCCTAGATCCACCCGTTGTTTAAATATACGAACTTTTTATTTAAAGTTCGAGTGTTGAGACTTGAGAGGATAGTAAGGTCATCTCTAACCGAAGGGTCCACAGGGCCAGAGGGCTGAAAATAGCCCTAAAACCATCTCTAACCGAGGGCTAGGCCAGAGGGCTCGAGAATCTGGGAGGGCCCCACGGAAGTTCAAAGGGCCAAAGGTTATAACCGACAGCATTAAAGAGAAATTCTTTTTTTTTTTTATAGATAACCGACACTAATAATTTGAATTTTTTTTAATATAACGGCTAGCTGAGTCAACTAGCAGTTGGGGTTTTTTTTTTTTTTTTTTTTTTTTATAATTTTAAACATTTCTTTTCTTCTATAAATATGGTGAAGTTCTTTCAATTCTTCACTTCATTTGCAATATTTCATTCTTCAATATTTTTCAATATTTCCTTCAATATATTTCTCAGTATCTCATTCAATATTTCCTTCAACATATTTTCCAATATTTCCTTCATCTATAATATTTGTTTCAATTTTTCAATAATTTCCTTCAATATTTTTTTCAATAATTTCCTTCAATATTTCCTTCATTTTTTTCAAAAAAAATGGCCTCATCTGCAATGAAAGGTAGGTCTTGGACCCGAAAAGAAGATGAAGCTCTTTGCAAGGCTTATAGATGGGTCTCAGAAGATAGTGTGAGGGGGATTTCTCAAACAAGTGAAGGTGTTTGGACTCGTGTGTCCAAAAAATACTTAGAGTTCTATGAAGGCACCATTCCACTCGAACCACAAAAGTTGTTTTTCAAGATGGAAGAAACATCTTCATCCAAGTTTGAATAAATGGCATCAAGCACTATTAGCAGCAGCAAGTAGACATGAAAGCGGCGCCAATTACTATGACGAAGTTAGTGTTTTCACAGTTTATTTTAAATGTTTAATTATATTACATTTAATTTTTGTAATTATATGTCATTATATTACATTTAATTTCATGAATTAATTTCCTAAAATTTTTGTAATTATATTTTCTAGGTACGCCAAGCGGAGGAATTGTATATGGAGGGTAGCTCAAAACCCTTTCAGTTTCACGGTTGTTGGGAAATTTGTAAAGGGTGGGTGTTATTTGAAAATCCACCTCAACATAGAGTGGATCCTTTGGGAGCTGCATCCTCATCTGTAGATATGAATGAAGATGGATCTCCTACTATTCAACAAACAAGGGTAGAAAATCCGACTCCGTCCGAAAGTTCTTTACTTAGGGCTATGAGACGAAACAAGGCCCAAAGGTTGAGGGAAAAGGGTAAGGCAAATGCTGATTACGCCGCTCAACATGAAGTGGTGGCCTCATTGCGATTACTGGCGGAGCAAAACGCCCTTGAGGCGGAAGAAAGGAAGTGTAGACATGAAGAACGGGCCAAACAAATACAAGAAGAGATGGATGATAAGAATATGGAAATGAACACTTTGAATTACACTCCAATGAGTAAGGCCTATTTTGATAGGAAAAAAAAAGAAATTATGTCTCGGCGGCAATTGTTTACCTCTAACTATACTCCTACAATGGCGGATGATGAAGATGATGTTGATTATGGATATTAAATTTAAGTCGTTGTAATTTTTAAATTTAAGTTAATGTTGTTTTAAATTTAATTTGTAGTTTTTAAAATTAATTTTTAGTTTTTAAATATAAGTTGTTGTTTTTAAATATAAGTGTGAACACGGAAAATTCCTGAAACGAATGAGACAAGAACAACGTGCACAAACAAATATTTGTATTTGATGATTTTGGGTTCCAATCTCTCTCTAATTTGATCCTCTGATTCGATCTCCGTAAGGTGTTGATTCGTGGATGTTTCGTTGATCCAAGGCGCGTCGAGGCTTGATCTTGGATGAACAGTTGGAAGTTTCTTGGCAGGGCCGTGGGCTTGATCTTTGAAGGTGGATTTGAGCGGATCTTCAAGGGGCTTTTGGGCTTGATCTTGAAGAACAGTGATGAATGGATCTTCAAGGGCTTTTGGGCTTGATCTTGAAGGACGGTTGGATGTGTGGATTTGTCGACGTTTGTTGATCCAAAGGGCCGTTGGGGCTTGATCTTGGAAGAACGATGAACGAAGAACACTTTCTTCAAGGGCCGTCGGGGCTTGATCTTGAAGGTGGATGATTGTTGATCCAAAGGGCCGTTGGGGCTTGATCTTGGATGAACGGATGATGAACGATGGTGCTTTCTTCAAGGGCCGTCGGGGCTTGATCTTGAGAGAGCGATGGACGAAGAACGAAGAGAGCTTTCTTGATTCTTCGGGAACCTGGATGCTTGAGAGCTTCGGAGTTTCAGAGCTTCAGAGCTTCAAGGTGTAATATGAATTGGTTCCCCTAAATGAATGAAATGGGCTTGTATTTATAGAATTTTCCAATGCCTAATTTTGAATATAATATCCCAGATGAAATAAGTCGTTTCTGCCAGGTGTTGACACGTGTCCTATTTGATGACTTTTCCAACTCATTTCAATTTTCGTTGAGTCACACGCTACGTGTAAAATTTATGTAATACATGAGCGTTGACACTTTGATTTATCGGTCAATATTTATTTACGAAATTTCGATGTCTACAATAAGTTGTTGTAGTTTTTAAATTTAAATAATAAATTATGTTTGGCCCTATGGCCCTCGGTTGGAGACGGTTTTTTGTGACAGGGCTAAAACGAGCCCTCTGGCCCTCTAGCCCTCGGTTGGAGACGGAGGCAAATATGACCATGTACTGTTCATTAAAATATTAATATCTTGGGAAATCTTGGAGGACCAGAGGGCTAAAACGAGCCCTTTGGCCAGCCCTTGGTTAGAGATGGCCTAAGAGAATATATAAAGAAAGGATAAGCTAGAATTATTTTCCACAAGGTATCATGTTATTATTATTATACATCATGTACCAACTGCAGGAATGTAATTCTTTTATCTCCATCCAATATGCTCTCTCCTAGTCCCATGATTCTTTTTTTCTGTTTTATCCTCCAATACTGTCACTTTTACGTCCATAATCATATGCTTCTGTTTTAAGATAGCAAGATGCTATATTCTTGGACATGGTATTATATGTGCTTTCTAGACAAAAAGCTATTCCTTTCATTTTAACTTTTTTGGATTGCCTAATTATTTTAACTTAATTCAACGCAAATTCGCAAATGGTGAATCGTCCTAGTTATGGATGCAAATTTCCGCCTTTTTTTTGGGACAAAATTGCACCTACAAAACAATCAATACCTTAGGTTAAGGTCAAGAGTCTCACACGCCCACGATGAATTTTGGGGGGGTGGGCTTTAGCTGAAGAACTTCCGATGCTAAAGTTAGAATTTGAGGGAAAAATATTTAGAGAAATTTGGAGAATTTAGTAAGAGAGTTGGACTTAGGTTTTTGGAGAAATGATGTGGTATTTATAGGGGTGTGGCCGGCCCCTTGGGGAGATTTGATGAGGATGGATGAAGTAGGTTTTGAATAAATATCTATTTTGATCACTTTTGACCTTGATTGAGTCATGATTATCCGCTGCTTGCACGTAGGAGCTTCGATATGCCTTGAGGGTAATTTTGTCTTTTTCACCCCCCAAGAATCCACGTGTCGCATCCATATTTTTCTCGATTATTTTT